AGAGTCTCGGATTGGAGACCAGGCTCTGCATTTGCTTCACATTTGTTGTTTTCCTAAACCTCAAAAAGTTAAAAGCAAGAGAGGGTGCCTCCTGCCTGTCACAGAAAGAGAGAAAGTGAGGCCCAGTTGGGCCACATCAAGACTACCTGGTCAGCCAGGGACAGGAATCTGAGACCTGGCTGCTGTTTGCTAAGCTACTGTCACCAATACTCCTAGATCCCTTTCCTCCGTTCTCTTCCCCTCAGTCAAAGATGAGGGAGGCCTTGTGTTGGGGAGAGTTCAGGCCCTCTGTTGGGACTGGGGGAAAGTTTGTAGGGCGCAGAAAGGCACCACCAGCCTAGAGCCCCTGGACCTTGGATGGCCAAGAGAAGGCAGACTCTGTCCTCCTGGCTTCTTAGGTAGCCTCTCCCCCATTCTGTCCTTATTTCTGCCCTGCCCATCCTACTTGTGAGTTGACATTTCCTGAGATCCAGGTACTAACTATCCATTTGCCAGGCCCTGGCACTCACTCCACCAGGTACTCAGGAGAGGACACCAAAAGAAGATCCAGGTTAGTGAGGTCAAGTGTGTCGTTTGGAGGATGTGTGCACTCAACCAGGGACTGTGGCAAAGCCCGTCTCGGAAGGGAGTTGCGATGGGAGAGATGCTAAGTAGTGAGACTCATAGCAGGGTACAGACTTGCAAGTCCTGGTATGTATAGGATGGGGTGGAGTTGGGGGAGGCATGGCCTCTTCTCCCCAAACAAGAATAGGTGTGACTTTGTGGCCCCGGACATGCTGTCAGACCTTGACTTCAGCCAAAGTAGTCCTTTGCTATCAGGACATACTGATTAATGTAGGAAATGAGACTCTGGCTGCTCCTGCCAGGGAGCAGTGCACTTTATGGGCATCTGCAGTCCAGGCCAAACCAACTCTCTGCTTCTTTCTAGGAACTAAGCTGGGGGAGGGGGGGTTTCCTTGGGGTTCATTGGGCCAGTTACAGGAAGGAAGAGAGGGCACCACTGAACCCTGAAACCTGCCTGCTCTAAATGGGTTCTGCCATCCGCCACATAGAAGACAAAACATATAAGACTTTAATGAAAAGGAACTTTAATACAGTGAGTTTACAATATGGAAGACAAAGAATATAACTTCTGAGTCAAACATCTGAAGTTACCCATCCCCTCGTGGACAAAAGTCCACCCAAAAGAGATTGGCCCAAAGCAAGGCCTGAAAGCCTGCCACAAGCCTACAGCACTTTCTGGCTGGGACTCATAGAAAAGGGTGAGGAGGAAAAGAGCAAAATCAAAATCAATATAAACACTGCCAGAGTCACCTCCCTACAGGTATCTCACCTACAGTCCAGGGCCAAGAAACAAACACTGTTTCTTTGCATGTTTGCTGCTCTTTGTGGCTTCCTTAGTTATCCTTCTGGCTCGCCATCCTGCTTCCTTCCTCTTCAGATTCTCTTTTTCTTCTTTTTCTCTTCTCAGTTCCACCCTACTTCTGGGTGGGGCAGGGAACCTGGAACTTTCCTTTTTCCTAGGGACCACACTGTTACAGGCCCAGGTTGTTGGGGTCGTTTCTGCAGGTAAGGTATTTTGCCACTTAAGGGGTGGGGGTGGGTGGGTTGGGGATTGGAGTGGATCATCCATGAATCCGGACGGAAATGACCATCCAGCTAAGTCTTATGTTGTGTTGGATTTGTCTGAGCTGAGCTTGGACACTGAAGGGCCTGGGGCACTCAGACAAGTGCAGGGAGCCACTGATAGCTGAACAGGGAGAGGCAGACTTTTAAGTTTAAGGTCGAAGTGGAGAGTCAGGGAAGGCTTCTTAAAGGCATCTGATCCTTGAAGAAGCGTTACAAATGGGCAGGGATATGTGAGGGCATTCCAAATGGCCAGCGTGGAGTTAGCTGTGCTTAGCTCTTAGGCAAACCCAGAACAATCGACGAGATCTATCCTCCTTCTCTCAGGTCTGATTGCACTTGTTGCTTTCTCTCTAATTGGCTTTGGATTAATCGAGTCTTAGAGCGTTTTCCTTTGCCAACCCCGCTACCCTGCCCCACCGATCGATCGACCCAGGAGGAAGATGGCGGGGTCTCCTAAGCAGCTCAGCATTGATTGGTTTTCACGACGGCCACTCTCCCAGTCTTGCCCTGGGATTGGCTGCCAGAAGTTCTTCCACTTCTTGAGCCTGCGCATTGCAGGACTAGAGCGAGGCGGGGGTCGGCGGGCAAGATGGCGGCTACTGCGGCCGGTATGGGCCGGCTAGAAGAGGAGGCTTTGCGGCGAAAAGAACGCCTGAAGGCCCTTCGGGAGAAGACCGGGCGCAAGGTGAGGAATGAGGGGAGAGAGTCGTGGCTAAAGTTGCCAGTTTTCGGGCTTGGAACATGGCCGGGAGAGCAGAGGACTACTGAGAGAAAAGGCAGCCGCTGAGGGCGCGCACGCGCGGCAGCTGGCTCATGCGCGAAGCTTCGCCACACGCCCCTGAAGTTTGGCGCTGGCAGGCGTGGAAGTTTTTTTTTTTTTTTAACGCCGTTGCAGTCTTCGCGCATGCGCCGATTGGGACGTCGCATCGCAGACTTTTCGGCTTTCTTGAATTGTAGACTCCTCTGTGGGACTTCAAAGCCACTTACGGTTTCAGATACTTGGTGGTGTAGGCTTGATTTGTTTGCGTCTGAATGCCGAAACTGCCATTTCACCATGCCTTACCTGCTCTTTCGCCTCGGGTGAAATCCCGTGAATCTGGTGGACCCTTCCTGTCCATCAGCGCGCCAGGGGCAGGACAGAATGCGACTGTACACTGGATGCGCAGCTGGAATTACTGAGCACAGAAATTCAAAATGAAAGATCCATTTGCGCACTTAGCTTCCCAGGCTGCGTCTCTGTGGATGGGCTATCTAGTCCTATTAGTTGCCAGATTTGGAAACGTTTTTTCCTTTTACTTCTCCGACATAAAAGTGGTCTAATTCCATTTCTACTGCTCACTACCCACAGTAATCGAAGAGGAAGAACGCTCAAGTTCACTACCTGTATGCAAACCCCGGCCTTGTCTCTTGGGACTGGGATTTAGGCCAAATTGCTTAATCTCTGTAAGCTCCGGTTTTTTCATGCCTCCAGTGGAAGTTAACAACTACTTCACATTCATTTTCACTGGGTTATTTTGAGACCTAACAGGATATTCTGTATGAAAGAACCCTAGAGACTACAGAGGGCAGAGGTTGTTGGTTCAGCTATTGTAGGAATGGATGAAACAACTATTCTCAACTCGACAAAACACAAAGGTTATTAATAGCTAGGTCTTCAGGAAATGGAAAACAGGAACTCCACTTTCCAAATTTAAAAAATTAAAAAGTTTAGGCTCCTCAGCCTGACCCCTGTTTTCCATCTCGGTGGCCATCTGTGGGAAAGTGAATGGGGAAGTAATCGAACTGGTCAGATTGGCTTCTGTGTCTGTTGGCTATGGTTTGGCCCCTGAGACAGTTATCCCACAAACTGCATGGTCTAGGGAAGCTCAAGCCTCAGCTTTTCAAACAATTGCTAGTCAACCTGCACTGTTGGCTCGGATTTAGAGCCTAGATTATTAGAACTGGACTTGCAGTTAGAATACAAAGGATAAGATACTATCCTCAGGACCCATTGCCATGGGGAGAATGCCTTAGGCCTTCAGGGAAACCTGCCTTTAAAGAGGGATTCTCTCAGTGGACTGAGAATGTGCCTAGTAGTTATTTTTCTCTACCCTGGCAGAGGAATGTTTTAACATCAGTGTTCAAGCTGAAATGCCGTTCTAGAGTTTTGAAATATACGCCTCATGAGGGGAATTGGGATAGGGTACACAATGTCTCTCTGTATTATTGTTTCTTATAATTTCATGTGGACACTTTGCTAATATTCATTCTTCTAATCCATGATTACAAGAGGTCTGTCCATTTGTGTTCTCTTTGATTTCTTCAATTCTAAGTTTCCATTGTAGAGCTCTTTTATTTTCTTAGTTAAATTATTGCTAGGTGTTTTACTGTTATGCTATTGTGAATGGGGTAAGTTTCTTTATTTCTGTTTCAGCTGCTTCATCATTAGTTAGTGTAACAGATTGGAACTGATTTCTGTATGTTGATTTTTGTATCTTGCAACTTTACTGAAATTGTTAATTAGTTTCAGCAGTTTTTATTTATTTATTTTGGTTGACTTTTTGGGACTTTCTGTAAACAAAACCCACTTGCAAATAGTCACAAATTTACTTCTTCCATTATGGTTTAAATGCATTTTATTTCGTGTCTTGCCTAATTACTCTAGCTGGGACTTTCAGTATCATGTTGAACAGAAGTGGTAAAAGGAAGTATCCTTGTTTTGCTCCTAATCTTAGGAGGAAAGCTTTCAGGTTTTCATCATTGAGTGTGATGTCCACTATAGGTTTTTCATATATGCCCTTTATCATTTGAGGAAGTTTCCTTCTCTTCCTAGGTTGTGTGTTTTTATCACGGAGGAGAGTTTTGACTTTTGTCACATGTCAAGTCTTTATCAATTGAAATGATCATTCCCTCTCCCCCATTTTGTTGTAGTATATATTGATTGACTTGGTGTTTAAACCTTTTAATGTGTTGCAGAATTCAGTTTTATAGTATTTTATTAAGGATTTTTTGGGTAAAGGTTTATTTATTTTATGCATACAGGAATTGGGGTACAGGCCAGAGGTGTGGGCAAGGTAAGAAGATTCAAGAGAGAGTGGGGAGCAGAACAGGCAGATCCACTGAAATACACTGCTGAATGGAGAGGTCTCCTGAGCCATGTGGATCTCCTCTGGGGCTGGGGATTGAAACCGTACAATCTGCAGAGGCTGCGGATAGCTTCATAGTGCTTCACTTTAATTTATTGTGCCACCAGGGAGGGCCCAGTATTTTGTTAAGGATTTTTTAAAAATAAATATTCATAAGACATATTGGTAGGTTTTTTTTGTTTGCTTTTTTTTTTGTTTTGTTGTGTCTTTCTCACTCACTAGGGTGATATAGATGTCATAGAACAAGGTAGGAAGTATTCCCTCCTTTTGAGATTTTTTTTTAATGCATTCAGGAGCTGGGGTGTTGGCCAAAGGTGCAGGGTGTGCAAGATTCACTAGAGATAGAGTGGGGAGCAGAACAGTTGGATTCATTCAGCTATACTGTTGAGGGAAGCAGTGGGGCGAGACAGAAGAGCTCAGCTCGCCATGTGGGTCAGCTTCCTGGGCCGGAATCAAACTCTGCTGTGGCTGCCTATAGCTTCATACAGGGAGGCCTTTTCAGTTGAAAAGGACTGGTGTAATTCTTCTTTAAATGTTTGAAATAATTAACCAGTGAAGGCATCTGACCCTGGGATTGTCTTTGTTGGGAAGTTTTTGATTACTTGCTTAGCTTCCTTGTCATTTATAGATTTGTTCAATTTTTTTATTCATGAGTCAGTTTAGGTCCATTGTGCTTCTAGGAATTATTTCACCTAGGTTAACCAATTTATTGGATACTGATTGCTACTTTAATTGGGTTTAATCATAACAATCCTGGCTTTAGAAAGCTTTTGGCTCTCTAAAATACATTTTACAATACATTTCTGAAAATTGTGCATTTGGAAATCACATGGCTTCTATCTTGGAATTAAGAGCTTTCTGGCCTCTGAAGTTTCCTTGTATATATATATATATATTTTAAAGATTTATTTATTTATGGATACAGAACTGGGGACAGGCCAGAGGTGCAGGGACGGTGGGAGGATTCACCACACACAGAGCCCGGAGCAGAACAGGCAGATCAGGCAGATCAAGGAAGTACACTGCTGAGGGGAGCAGCGGGCGGGTCAGGAGAGGTCTGCCGCACCATGTGGATCACCTCCGGGGCAGGCAGGGATCGAACTCATGCTGAAGTGGCTTTAGCTCCTTAGTGCTGTGCTTTAACCCGCTGCACCACCAGGGAGGGCCCTCCTTGTATTCTTTTTAATAAACAAGTTATTGTGAAGTCACATTCGTTTGTTCTGCTGGGAAAGCATTGTTTTTTTTTTTTTTTTTTAAGATTTATTTATTTAAATAAACAAGAACTGAGGTGTAGGCCTGAGGTACAGGCTGGTGAGAGGATTCATCAGAGGCAGAGTGGAGAGCAGAACAGGCAGGTTGAAATGCACTGCTGAGGGCAACTGTGAGTGAGACAGGAGAAGTCTGCTGTGCCATGTGGATTAGCTCCCTGATGGTGGATCTAACTCATGATAGCTTCATAGGGTTGAGATTTAACCCCATGTGCTACCAGGGAGGTCTCACACATTCTTAATCTTTTGGAGGGTTTTTGCCTTTCTTGGTATGCTGGTCCAGGAGCTCCTATTTGCAACTCCATCTAGTCCTTTTAAGTATTGAGTACTTGAAAAGGGAAAGTATTGAGTACTTGGAAAGGGAAAGTTTTCTGGTAGTGCTATTCATAGTGGATCAGCGACAGGCAATAAAGTGTTATAATTCCTTTAGTAGAATACACGGAGCACACACTGTATGCCTGTCATTCAGGCACTGGAGGTAGAGCAGTGAGCAAAGCAGACAAAAGTTTCTGCCCCAAGCAGCTTTTAATTAGGCTGGGAAGACAGTGAAGCAAAATATGTGTATAGGGCCTCCCTGGTGGCACAGGGTTTAAAATCACAGTGCCATCAAACTTTCTACAGACACTGTGGCATGAGTGTGATCCCAGGTCAGGGAGCTGATCCACAGGGCACAGCAGACCTCTCCTGTCTCACTTGCTGCCCCCCTCAGCAGCAGTATATTTCTTCCATCTGCGGGTTCTGCTACCCATTCTTTCTCTGGTGAATCCTCTCCCTACCCACCTTGAGTCTCTGGCCTCCACCCAGTGCTTGTATGCATAAATAAATAAAACAAATCTTTAAAAACAAAAGCAAAATATATGTGGTGTTAGATGGAGATGAGAAAAGGAAAGAAACCAAAGGTACATGCTGCTACTTTTTTCTCTGTACCTCTAATTTCATTTCTATATGGGAGACAACAGTGTTTTCCATGCTTAATGATACCTCCTGCCTGGTTTATCTTATCTGGTCTCTATGACAACCCAAAGAAGGAAGGAGGAAAGTTTATTTATAGATGGACACACTGAGGCAATAAATGTGAGGCGTTTTACCCAAGGTCACATAACTAAGGTAGCCCAAGTGAGTGTTGGGGTTAAGGGTAGAGAGTCTCTGTGTGACTTGGGCAGGTGGCCCAGATGCAGGGTGGGAATGGACTGAGATATCTTTTAGGTTTTTTTTTTTGGTCTATCTGCTCCAGAAAATAACAGCGGGACAAGAGTATAGACCCCAAGTCCACCCTGGCCATAGGACTGTTT